ATTTATTTTGGTAGATACAATTAAGTCTTTTTCATCTTTCTAACATTATGCCTAAAATTAAGCCATCATCATCACTTCGTTTACGTGCATATATAAACGAATTTGGTGAGGATGTTTTTTCGACTGACGGAAAAATTTTGTTTTGCAAAATATGTAGTGTAAAAGTTGAGTCAGAAAAAAAATTTACGATTCCCAACATTTATCAGGGGATAAACATGTTAAAGGTTTGGAAATTAATAAAGCGAAAAATACAAAATATAAAACTCAACCGTTTTTTACCGACACGTTAACTAATTCGTTCAATAAAGATTAATGTTTTGCCATGTTATCATCAAATATTCCACTAGCCAAACTACAACAATCAAATTTTCGAAATTTTTTGGAAAAATATACGAATCGGCAAATTCCTGAAGAGTCTACTATCCGAAAAAACTACGTAAGTACTTGTTATGATGAAACTCTCATTAGAGCATACGTAGAAAACAAAAAGATTTGGGTTAGCATAGATGAAACACGACAGACGTCAAAGGCAGATTGTCGCTAACGTTATTGTTGGAACATTGGAAAATAATTGCCCTCATAAAACATTTTTATTACTCTGCAGTTTTGGAAAAAGCAAACTTTAGTACAATAGCAAAACTATTTGAATACTTCTGAATACTACTATTTGCTACTACTACTTTACTATTATACTACATATTTGCCACTGCCAGTAAGTAAAAATGTATAAATCTTAAAACTAAAGTTTTCACTGTTGCGATCGTTTTCACAAAATGGTTTTACACTTATAACATTATTTTCATATTTATTCAATGATCAATTCTAATAGGTACTACAGTATTACTTCTGAATCTGAAGGAATCGATATTATGGTCGATATGCAAGAAGTAATCGATATTGATAACAATACATTTATCGAACCTATTAGTATGAACCCAAATGTGTCATTTCCGAATGATTTAGGAAACATTAACACAGGACCTATATAACACCCTGTATTACAAGTTAAAAACCTACTTAAAAAAAAATTGTCAACCTAAAAAAATTCAAAATATTTAACGTTTAAAAAACATTTTTTAGATATATCCCAAAACCAAATTTGGTGTTAAAAATAGGTCATTTTCATTAAAATTGTATTCAAATTTTAATTGTCTTGAATAGTGTGATGGGGCATTTTGTTATTTTTGTAATATTTAAGTTAAGACAAAAGTGGAGCTATGATGAAAATTCAAAAATCAAAAAATATAGATTGATTATAGTGTGTTGTTTAAAATAAATATGAATGCTGATAAATTGACTCGTGGTATAGTAGTTGACATTGCGAATACACCTCAATAGTTTATAATCCAACATGGAAATTATAAGAAATACCGAAGAAATAGAGAACATATAATAGTTAAAGCAAGAGGATGTAAAAAAGAAAATTGTATTAATTTAATACTAACACCTTTAATAACAACAATAATACTCGAGATGTAAAACGCAATTTACGTTCTAGATCGAATATTAGAAAACCAACTAGATTTTCTGACTGATTTATTATCGTCATATACAGATATAAATAGTTAGAAGAAAATGTTTTGTTAGTTTTTAAAAATTAGTTAATTGATAAAAAAAAATATGTATTTTTAATTATTTGTTGGTCTTAAAAAAATTATAGATATATGGAGAAAATGTGTATTATTATGTACTTATTTATTTATTTTTATTTTTCTTCTGAGTAATTTTTGTTTGTAAAAAAATTTTTTTTTCTTACGGTATTCTATTGAAAAAAAAAATGTATAATAGAAAAATGTCTAGATGTAAAAAAAAATTGTGTTCAGAGAGAATGTAATGTAGTGTATTCTATAATTTATATCTAAATGTAATACTTGATAAGGTGCATGCTAGGCAGTTTTATTATTATTATCTGCGGTGTGTGATATTGTCACTCGCTCACCTGTGGTCAGTCGTTGTATACTGTCTCTGTACTTTTATTTATGCTTCAATTATATATCGGCTATGTATCATTTAATTAATAATAATCTTTTCATTTACATCTAATGAGTTCCCACATAACACATACAAAAAAAAAACTGTGATACAATTATTACAAATTTTGCTACATTTTACAAATATTACATGGAGAGATTGAAGAAAACTCAGATAGAAATATTAGCCACGCTATTGGTAATTCATATTAATTAAAATTAACTTTATTAATATAGGTGGCTCTGGCTCATTAATTTAATTAGTATTAACCTAGAAAAATAACCAAACAATTGTATATTAAATATTTATTAGCATAAAATTTTAAAATACCTTTATTTTAATTTCAGGTATTTATTCGTCTTTAACCAAAGGGACTTTTGTAGTTTATTTATTTATTTTGTATATTTTTAGTAGCTATTCAGTAATGATGTCACAATATCACATTCACGGCCCAAAATACAGAATGAATCAATAATAATTAATCATGGTTGTAGAATGTAAATACAATACAATACAATAATACTAATACAATCATGATGGTAACTTATTAAGTGATAATGGTATTTTCGCTCTAAATTAATGTATTGTAATGTATCAATTTTTATTTACAATAAAAAAATTAATTTATCTCAGTAACAATAAAAATTATTCACATTTACAAGAACACAGAGCTTATAATTTACCTGTACAATACTCTAAAAAATCTTTTGATAATCGTTTGTTGACTATTTATGTCCAACTTATTTTAACCAAATGCCAACATTACAAAAAAAAATTATTCATGAAGGTAAAGCTAATGGGAAAAAAATTGTTTATAAATGGTTATTCACAAATTTAATAACTTCTTAAATAATAGTATTTTCGGTGATTTTGTTTTTGTTTTTTGTTTTATTTTGTAATTTAATTGTATATATTTAATTACTACATTATATAATTGTTATTGTATTTCCTCCTTAAATGTTATATTTTGCTTACTCAACTGTAAAACAAGTCATATTATTCATTTATATTATTTATTCTGTACAAATGTATAACTAACCAGTCGCATGTATCTAATTTTGTTTGATGTACATGATGTATTAGATTTATATTTATTTTTGTTTTATTTTACTTATATCAATTAATATTACTATTATTAACTCTCTACTCCACCACAAGCTTCGGCTTAAAGGAGTAGGTATATTTCTTTATTTATATGATGTTTTATATATTTAAAGAATAGAAAAAAAAAAAAAAAAAAAATTAGAAAGAAAATAGACAGATTTCAAGAACAAAATATTTTTTTATCATTGGTTGAATTTAAAAATTAACATAAAACAGGAATTTTTCTGATAGTGGATAACAAATAATTAACTTATTAAAATTATGTGCACATACAATTTAAATAGGTACTTAATTTTATAAACTGTAGCTATGGGGCTAAGCCAAAGTATCAAATACAAACCGTATACAAAGATTTCAATCCAAAGTCCTTGGCGTCATCTCTAAAGCTCCCTTCTATGTTTCAAATAATACCCTTCATGTCGACTTCAATCTACCCACCGTCACTGAATTCCACTACAAACGATTCAATAACAAATTAACACGTCATTCTAATCCCCTTATCGCCCAAATATCATCTGCAACGATTCCAGGAAATTCCAACAAAAGACTAAAAAGAAAATGGTGTAATGACCTGCCTATATAATATTAATTTTAAAAAAAAAAAAAATTTATCACTACTACCGCGATCTTTGTTAAATAACTATTATGTATTCATTGTACTATCATTATTATTAATACTTTCTAGGATCAAAACCCTAAAATTATATTGATGTTGAAGTACCTCCAATGGGAGGCCCTCTTCCTTCAGTCTCTTCTGTCTCTTCTGTTTTTTTTTTTATTTATTATCACTTAAGCTTATTGTTCTAATAGAAACAGATAGCGTAATATAGAATTTTGTTAAAAAAAATTTATAAACTACACAAAATAAAAAAAAAATAGCCGTTAAACTATTTATTTTTTTTTTATTTTTAGTAAAATTAGTATTAATAATACTAAATAAATATCTAATTTAAACAAGGCTATAATATATTTATAACATTCAACATTAAAAAATATATTTTCAAATACAAAGTCTTTGTTGTTTTTAAGGACTTGTAATATTAATTAAATTGGCAAAATTAATGAAAAAAACCTATTTTATATTTTATATCAATACAACAAATTTTAAAAACTTATTTTTATTTTAATTTAAAGAATTTAATGGATAAATAGTTAAATGCAATCAGTCTTTAAATAATATAAGTAATTGTGACTCAACAAATTAATGAATTTTGAATTCAAGAAAACTATTTTCTAATGAAACAGATTCGTTAACAAATTGTATAAAACTAAAATAAATACAAACTTCATCAATCTATTAAAATAAATTTTAGAGTAATGCGGTCATACTAACCAGTAGACAGTTTATGGTAAATTTAAGTAAATATATTAGGTACAATTGTGAAAGGATCAATAATGGCACTCTTTAAATTGAGTTAAACAAACAACGAGCTCGTGATCTGACCATGTTATTCAATATAATTTGATCACCATTAAGAAGGCCCATCATTGCATTACCTTCAGGTTCTGAATCTGTATAACTGATGGATACACAAATATCTTCTTGATCTTTCTATTTAGAGCAGTTGTTCCCAACCAGGACAACGTAGACTCATGTAGAGGTGACATGCATCATGTATACTTCAATCTTAGGGCGACACCAGTGTCGGATTATCGTGACTAAAGGTGACATGAGTAAGAAAAAGGTTGAGAAGCACCGAGGATTGAACACAAAAATTAACCGTTATTAAGGACATATACACCATACACACGTGTAACGTCGCAAAAATCAATTTTCGAGGAAAATTCGATACTTACCGAGGATAGGTATCCAAGGACTGATGACACTTGCAAATACAATGTCGTGTACGAGTACACCGCGGGCAGCAGCAACCTCACGCCGGTTTTGCGGGACCGCTTTGGGGTTACCCGACCGGGGGAGGGGCCGGGCTTCGTTCGTTGACGGGCCACGGACGATTACGCGCAAGTGTCGCACCGGCAAAACGTCGGGCGACGTAAACGCATCGGAAGATACGGAAATATAATCGCCGCTGCCGGTTGCTCATGTATATAAAATCGTGACGGCAAAAATAACACGGCCGGGAGGCACGAGTACCTCGTGGCACGTTATATATAGTACTCACTTAGTTCGGTGCGCCAGCGACAAAAGACGAAATTATCACCGGAACACCGTCCAGAAAGTCGTGATCGGCACACAAAGTGATTTCGTATTGCTGAAACCGAACAGTCGTAGAGTGAAAATTACGGCAGATCCGGAGGCGCGCGAACGTTAATGTCGAGCTGAGAGTTCCGCCGCAGCGCCGTACCCGAGCGAACGAAATGAATAACAATGGCGAACGTGTTTTACGTTGGGAAGTCACCGCGGAGAGCGTAGACGTCCGCCAATCGCCGCCGCCGAAGACCGCTCACAGTGTGACCGCGGGCGCGGTCCCGGAGAAAATTTGTTCGACCGCGACCGATGCGTTACTGCGCATTATGCGATAATCGTCGTCGCGGCCGAACCCCTTCCACCCCGTAACCGATACGTACGACGACGACGACGCGGCGGCCGCCCGGAATAATCCCCGTTTACTTCTGCTTGGTACTTGGTGGCTAGCGTCTACCTCGCGCGTTCCGACGACTGCGAATTGTGTCACCGCGGAGCCGATCGCAGCGCGTTTCGTTTCCCCATTTCAGGGCCTCTCGATTGATAACATAATAGTCATTATACTATTGGTCACACGCGCGACTTTTTGTCGCGCAACTATTTTTCGCCTTTTCTACAGTCTGTACAGTCATATACAGACGCGCGCACACGGAGCGATGCGACTTTTCTCTAGTTGACGACAAAACAAAGACAAAAGAACACGCACGCCATACATATTATATTATCGATAAATTCTGGTCATTTCAAATTTTGACTTGTAACATGTTAACAAAGTCACACGTCTGATTACGAAAATATATACATTACTAAATAACTCGTTAATTTCAGATACATATTCCTACATCAAAGCGTTCAAATTAAAATTAACTCTGTTTACAAATCAATTAATAGAATAAAATCCGACAGTGACGTCACTGCAGTACACGGTACATGCCGCCGTAATAAGTTGCAGTACTATTCTCCGTGTTCTCGCCTTTTTTATAATTTCAACTGTGTTTTTACATATTATATTGAATTGTCAAATCTTGAGTACGAAAGGAGGTTCAAGTTATGCAATTGAAAAATGCAATTCTTACTTTGGCAGAAAGAATTTTTAAAAAAACTACCAAGCAGAAAATCCCTAAAGTACCAGGTGTAGTAAAGTAACTTTTACATAAAATAATGAATATAATGAATATTGAAGAAACGTATAGACCAGTTAAACAAACATTTGTAAGGCAAAGGATCTTTATTCGTATGAAGTATGCAAATAAAATTCAACAGTCTAGTTGCAAAAAGTTAAGCTAAATTACAATTACAAAAACTTCAAAAGCTAAGAAAACTTATAACTTAAAAGTATAACTTTTGACTTGTTTATTAAGTAGGTATTATTAAATAAAAATAATTACATATTTTTCTATATTTATGGAGGGTTTTTATTATTAAAATATTAATTTTTCAAATTTTTTTAGTATAAGAAGAGAATAGTGCCGTGATCTTCTTAATAACTAATAAACAATAACTCAAGTAAGGGCAGTGCTACCACTGGGTAGCTCCTCCCATGATTCAATCATGTTATTACCATCTATCATCACATATTCTTATTATTCCTCAGGAATAGATTGTATATCATAAAAATTTAAAATAAAAAAAAAAATTTATTTAGTACAATTATTTTTATTTTAGGAACAATTTAAATAAATACAATGGGAAATATTGAGTATAGAACAGCTATTACTTTTTCTACTTTTGACAAATATTTAAAAACAAGTTTAATATATATTCCTAAAGAATTTAAAGTATATTTGCCTTTTTTAAAAATATAACTTTATTCATATAATCTACATTTAGAACATTAGGTTCCTAGTCATACAGTGATTAAGCATTTTAGTAGGTACTAAAATCAAAACCACCTACTTGTGTTGCTGTTATCAATAAATGCGATTTATATACCCGTACGAAAAACAATAATAGTACCAGTGGCGTGCGCAGAGGGGAATAATAGGGGTTATATCCGCCCTCTTTTACTTCAAATACAAAAAATATCCTTAGTTTTTCTAGTATCGAAATGTATAGATTTCTTTTTTTTTATGATCTGCACTAATTTTTTTTTTTCGGTTATTATTAACACAATAAAGAAAAACGTTTTTGTAAAAATAAACAAAACGGTTATAATAAAATAGGTACCCAGGTAATGTCAATAAAATAAATAAACATATTATAATTCTCAGTTTATAATTATAACAATAAATCAAATAATTTAATTTTTGAATTTATCAAATATTTTCAAAGTTATTTACTATTACGATAATTTGATTAACTTTGCAACAAAATGGACTCGAAAACGATGATCAACCAAATAAGTGAGTACTTACACATAAATTATATTATCAGCTTACGTTCACAAACGTGTAACAAACCAAAAATTAACTTTCAAGTTAACTCTTAAATCCAATTCTTGCGCCGAGTATAGATGACAATAGATAACAATGCCAACCCGGTTAACCTTTCATTACCCATGGTTTATCTGAAGTGGTTTTGATAAGTTTCAACTTAGAAATACTCTCTCAGTATGCGCTACAGTGACCGGAATCGTTAGAACGATTCTCTAACTAATCGTTATATTGGGGTAAATCTATTGTAATTTCTCACTATAAATAAGCTCAATATTTTTGTTCCGAGAACTATGTGGTGAGACAAAACATTTTTAGTTCTTCATATAGCTCTTTTGCGTCGATAGGTATCGGATATTTAATTTGCTATCCATAAAATAGCGTAACCTTTTCAATGATTTAATAATGTTTTTTGCTCCCAGTTTTTTAATAAATTAATATTGTATAAGAATCTAAATTTTGAACAATGGTGGTTTAACATTGAAATCCGTGTATTATTATATAGATATACGTTAAATAGTAATAATTTACTGTGTAATACACAATAAGGTAAGATATATCGCGGTGAAATGATCGCGAACAATTAATCGCCGTTGATTGGCGGCTACAAATTGGTGGCCGGTTAAATTGATCGCCAAAAGAAAAAAAACGAATTCTNTTATTACGTAAAAAAAAAAAATACTAAAAAATATTAAATTCACTATACTAGACTTATATAATATACGACCGTAGACGATGAGTTTTTGCAATTTGTGTATATCGATGATATTATGAAAATCAACGACAATTCATCATTTAATTTTATTAGTAATAATAAATTATTATTGTATTATTAGGGTATTAGTATATGAGTTTAAACCGGAGATAAGTCTACACAAAGCATTAAATTTTTCAGTGACCAATTTACAGCCGCGATCAATTCACCGGATACAAGAAAAATATTTGATACCTATCTACTCAAATAAGCATTGCTCTTAATACACTTGTATTGATTTGAAACGTAATATTCATCTTTCGGATTTATTATTAATTATCAACCAGTGATTCGTTGGATTTTGTTTAATTTATTAGTTGTGAATCCTAATACAACGTATTTTCTGTCATAAAAAATGCTGGCCCCAGTTTTCATTGAATATGTTTCCGCCTTTAGGAAATGGCCTAACCTGCTTGTGCATTAGCGACGGGCCTGCATACGTTCATATGATACATATTCATCGGTTTAGATCAATACCGATATGACTAGTATACCGTCATTTGACGATTGAAATATATACCTTATAGTATTTAAAAGATACTGAATTCGAAAAAGCGGCGTGTTTTTGAATAGTTTAAACCGTATTATATATATATATATATATACAGAGGGAGATAATAGGAGTTTTATCCTTTCCTCTTTTATTTAAAATACAAAAAAAAATGTATAGATTTCTTTTTTTTATAATCTGGCCTAATTTTTTTTCGGTTTATTTTTAACAAAAAAGCCAAACGTCTTTTTGAAAATAAACAAAACGGTTATAGTAGTAATAGGTACCATGGTAGTACTAGAAACATAAATAAACATTAGTATTTCATTTCAGTTCACGATAAATATATTTTTATAAGTTAATTTTGTAAAGTTACCTACTGTTTCAAAGAACATAATTTAATACGCTATGGAATCCAGAGGAATGTTTAATTCAATGAGTGAGTACTTACACGTAAATTATATTAGCTTCCATTCATTCATATGATACATATTTATCGGTTTAGATCAATATCGATATAGCCAGTATACCGTCATTTATCAATCGAAATATATACTTAATAGCATTTAAAAGATACTGAGTTCGAAAAAGCGGCGTGTTTTTGAATAGTTTAAACCGTATTATATATACTAGTTGTCCCGCGCCCGGCGTTGCCCGTGCCAATTTTTATCATTATTATTTTACCCATATTCATTTTTGGTTTTGGTCGTGTTAGAATTGAATGAAAACAAATAGGTGGAAAGTGGGTAGTCCACCTTCGGCGGAATAAGTGTACTATTATGACATTTTTTTCATGATTTTCATACGAAAAATAACGAAACCTCGATTTTTTTTTAAACGGGGAGGGTTTATGGATTTCAAAGGAAGTCAAGCCTAATCTAACTTATCAGGGAGTGGAGACGCTCGACAGCGGGAAAGCGCGTGTACCATATTATACCTAATTGTCGTCCGCAGACAGCACGGTGTTTGTTTTATACCTTCATTTGAACATTGGCCGACAATTTATATTAATATATAGTTAATAATTCAGTTGTTAATCTGTATATATAAAAATGGATCGATATTTTGTCGGTGATGCCTTAACTTGAATACCATCTAAATTTCAAACTTTTCCAGTAGATTTTCCAAAAATCGTCTTTCATAATAACCTTTTGAATACACGAAAAAAAATCAGGTATATCGGTCCGTCCGTTTTCAAATTATGGCTTTGGCGAGAAAATATCAATTCAATTATACATACCTATATAATATAAATGTGCGTATTTGCCGATATATTCAAATTTATATTTAAACAAATAATAACTCGATTGTATCAATCTTTTGGCGCCCTCTGATAAATCTTCATTTATTAATTTTCTATCAGAATGAAAATTTAAATTTTGGGACAACTTACACGGAATATCCTACTGATTATTTATTTTTTTGTTTTTTAATTTCATCCGTATCACCAAGGTAACCCATAAATCAACAAAAAAAATATCGCTGTACTGA